TTTGGTTTTGGTTACAAAACGCCACCAATGGGATGGAATCCTTATAATCAAGTAAATATAATCTGCTTATTTAACGTAAATTATTGTGTTATTGAGAAGCTTAACTAACTTGATATTTAATATTTAAAGTTTTATAATGTTATCAGTGAAGAGATAGTTAAAAACCATACAAATATTATAGCTGATGAAGGATATTTGGACGTTGGTTATAGATATATAAATCTTGGTAAGTTAAGTTATTCATTAATTATATATTAAGTATGTTATATAATATTATTAAGTATGTTATATAATATTATTGTATGTTTTTTCTTACTTATAGATGATGCTTGGCAAAATTCTTCTCGAGTGGATGGAAAACTCGTTTCCATGTTAGTATTATAAGCATATATATATAGATAGATTTGTTAAAAATAAATATTTAAAAACATTAAACTTATAATCCTTTTAAGATTTCCTAATGGAATTAAAGGTAATCTATGTATTTTATGCATTACATTCCTTATTATGGAAGATTACGAATGTACAGTTGCCTCCGAAAGTTTGTCACGGTTACACAAAAATTATGATTAATTATTTGACAAATAATATACGTATACAACTCTCGATATAAGAAACTTTCAATATAAGAAATTCTTGATATAGAAAGATTGTACAAATCCCAATTGAGAAATTTTATCTTTAATATAAGAAAGATTTTGGCCGGGCCCGGTTATTTTTTTTATACCAATATATTATATCGTTGATTTGGATATCGATATTTGACTATGTTTTTGTGTAACCGTGACAAAATTTCGGAGGCGCCATATATATATATATATTAAGATTAAACTTAACTTGAATTATATATTCTGTTTTTTAAGCTCTTTCAGATTATGTACATAGCAAAGGCTTACTTTTTGGAATTTACTCATCTGCTGGAAATCTTACTTGTCTTGCACGTCCTGGATCACTAAGTACTTATTTTATTTTAAAATGTAATTAAAAACTCAAAATATATACTTATATATGTAAATTATAGATTTCGAAACAATAGATGCTGAAACATTCGTAGAATGGGGTGTTGACTATTTAAAGTATGATAATTGTCACAGTGATGGAAGTCCTGAACAAGAACGTTATCAGGTAAGTTATACTTTAAAATTATTAAAACTGTTATTTTTAATATTAATATTTATTTTTGTCATTTAGCGAATGCGGGATGCACTAACGTTGGCAACTAAAGGCAATAAAACTCAAATTTATTATAGTATCTGTGAATGGGGGTAAGATGATTTTGCAAAAAATTTTTTAGCAGATCTATTATGTTTTACTTAATTAGATTGTATACTAAAAATTTTTATATTTTAATTTCAATATTAGGAAAAGTAATCCTTGGTTGTGGGCACCTGGTGTTGGTAATAGGTAATTATTTCTATCTAATGATTCCAAAGCCTATTACCATATTATAATAATTTATTGATTACTTAATTTTAGTTGGAGAATTTCTGCTGATATTCAAAGGGTCTGGCCATCAATCGTAGCGATAATAGATTCGCAAGCAAGACTTACTCAATATGGAGGACCAGGCGGTTGGAATGATCCTGATATGCTTATTGTGGGCTTTGATGCGATAACTTTCGACGAACAAGTAACCCATTTTGCATTTTGGGCTGCTCTGAAGGCTCCTTTAATACTCGGATGTGATGTAAGTTTTACTTAATAAGTGGTTAATTTATAATCATTTTATAAAAATAATATAAATATTTTTAAGTTATACTGTAGCTCGCTAAGATTAGTGGGGATATTAAAAAATTAGTAACAAATATTGATATAATTTCTGTGAATGTAGGTTTATTTCTTATTGTTAAGATAGTTTCTTTCTTTTTCATTAAACATCTTATTATAAAAAAAAAGAGCCATACTACTGTATAACACATTTAACCATGTTTAATTCTGAAAATAGCAAGATCCCCTTGGAAAATCTGTATCTCAGGTTTACCATGAAGATACAAACACGAGTTCTTTTGATATTTGGACTGGACCACTTAGTGATGGATGCGTTGCAAGTTTGTATTACAAAAATTTTCGTCCATTATTCCATCAAGTTATTACTGTATATCATAAAAATGATTAACTTGTTTTTATTATTTTAGTTTTATTTAATCGTGGAATATCACCTATAAATATTACATTAAATTTTAAGAATCATTGTCGTCTTACGGGTAATATTATGATTCGGGATCTTGTGAAGCAAACGAATATCAGAAATTCTACTACTGATAGGTATGTCCACATATTTCTACAAATATCTCGATTTAATTCTTTTTTAAATTAGTGATTACACTAATTGAATAAATAACTCATCTTTTTAAATAAAACAATTGCTAGTTATACTGCTACAAATATTCCAAAACATGGTGTAGCATTTTTAAAACTTATTGGCGAAAATTTACCGGTTGCATGTGATGGATCTGATTGTCAGACAATCTCGATTACAAATTATTCATCAATAATAACAAATAAACTCTTCCTTTTCCTCGCCATTGTCATAATTATATCAGTTTTTTTACTTTTGATTTATTTCAATGTTTCTTTTATATGTAAAAATTAAATAAAAAAATTTCTCATCATGTCGAATGATCAAAGTCTACATAGGTATTATTATATTCAAAACTTTGAAGACTTTGGATGAAAAAAAGTTTTATTATGTATTTAAAGTGTTCACAGCATATTAAAATTAGAAACTTTTAGAAACAAAAAACGTACTTACTATGGAAAAATGTGCATTTGAATTTCAAAGGACGATTTATTTTAGTTTGTGAAACCTTTTTGTAATTCAAATAGATTATCACCTAGTACAATTTTTGGTTTGTACTGTAAGTTCAATATTGTAAATGCTATTTCGTAGTTTAAGTGAATAGATTTTTGGCAATGTTTTATTTATTGGTTCAACATAAAAAAAATTGTTTTTTTTGTTTTATAAAATATGCATACAAAGTCAAAACATTATATGTATAACAAGTTAATAATTCTGGATGCAAAAAAAAAAGTTCGCCATACAAAATTACTATATTTCTTAAGAAGAAATAACCCTTTCTATACAGAATTAATGTAAAATTTAAGGATTTTTAGCTCGTTATATCGAGTTCATTATAAAGAAGTTCGTTGTAGAGTTGACCATATGTCTACGTGTATAATCAAAAGAAAAGAAAAAAAATTATGAATTAAAAGCTTAATAACTAATTTTGAGATCTATCTTATCATAATGAACGATAACGATAATTTCCAATGCTTTAATCAAAATTAACTGATAATCTGATCCGAAATCATATGTAAACGACGCTAGGGTCGCTGTGAAGATGTTAATGACACTTCTTCACGCCTTTATAATTAGTATAATTTAACTAACAAATAATATAATTTAATAAGTAGATTATGTTAATTGGCTGGAGCTGAGGGGAGTGAGGCGAAAGACTTTAAAGCCTTACTCTATTGAATTTTAAGAATGTCCGGCTCCCGCTTCACTTATCCCAAATTTTTGGTTCAAAATAACCT